TTTTTTTTTTCTCCAAAATGTAGAGAGGAGTAAATACTTATACAGTATTACATTTATTTATGGGTGCCTTACAAATAAAACCATTTCCAGCAACATAAGCCTCTAGCATAGAATGTAATTAAATTGTATTTTGTATAAATGGCTGATTTATGTTCATGTTTTATTTGAAATATAAAGCATTCACACATTCCCAATTATTTCAACCTGCCCCCCACCCCCTGACATGGCACAGTTAACCCTTAATGTGTAAAACTCCTTTTTTTTATTTCAGAGCTCTCAGAAATCTGTTTTGAAGGATGATGCCGTTCCTACTATATTTGATTTTGCAACCAACCAGGACAATGCACAAACTAGCAACAGAAAAAGGACACGGGAGAAAGTGAGTGTCTAATGTACACATCAAAATTGAAAAACTTTTTTTATTCTGTTTTATAACTTCCTTGCTTTGTGAATAGACTGATAAAAAATTTCTTAAATTTTTTTTTAACAATATAAAACATTTTTTTTCTTTAATATGTGAGTTTGTCTCAAAATAAGACAAAACACAAGAAAATTTTATATATAATAATGAGTGGTCTTTAGCAACTTATTTGGGTCTTCCAAAATCTGGTAAATAGCCTAATGAAGACAATGAACTGTTCTGTACAGAATGGATTTTAAAGAGTTCCTTTGTAAAGAGTGGCACAGTGAGCCCAGCACACATAAGTAGCATCAAGTAGATATTCAATGCAAAGTGTTTTATCAGTGTTTTATCAGTTTATTCAGTACAAAGACTTACTTATCAGTACATTCTTATGCAATACAAGCTTTTATTAACTTAAAATAATGGAGCAAACTACTTGCCCATTTTTAATTTTTTGATTAAGTTGATGCAGTTAAATACAAAGTGACATGGTAAACAAACACTTTGGGGATTGAGTTCTGTGTAGATTACTTATCATTTGAATGCAAATGTGATTCCACCATCTCATTTAAATTAGATTTCATGCTTGTAATAGTTCTCAACAAGCATTTTATAATGTGTAGCCATCATTGTTATTAATTCATTGTTTTTATTTGTCATTATGGACACATTGTAGCGTTGGCTACAAATGATAGATTTTTTCTTTTGTTTTCATTTTTTTCAGACAGGAGAGGAGCCTGTTGCCACAAAGAAAACTAAAGGTAGGTAATGCATTTCCATGTCAGCATTTTTAAATTCTGTTTTCTCTTTGTAATTACACAAACTAATTACAGCAGATTCTCTGCATTTTTGTTTTTAAGCGTGTATGTATTCTGCTTTTTTAAGGTACCACCAATAACTCAAACCCCTCTGTGCCAGAGGCAGAAGATAAAGTTGAGAGTGATTCAGCTGAGAACAGCGAAACACACAATCCTCCTGCACATGATGAATCAGAGGAGGATCCTGCTATTTACAAAGCGAAAGAAATTTTGAAAGACTACTTCAAGGAGACTTTAGCCTTCACTGGTTTTAGCATCCCCAACAGTGCATCTCTTAATGCTGTTAAACCACTGGGGAATGACCCAGCTAGGCCACTCTCTGTCAACACCATATGCGCAGAGAAGATTGACCAAAAAGAAGTGCTCACCTTAGGTGAGGATGTGATGCGTGAGGAGATCCGCAATAGCTTGCGCCTTGCACGCTTCTTTTCCATACTTCTACAAGACAGAGTAAGCATTGAGGGCAAGGACCAGATTCCTGTGTTTATCCGCTCAGTCACTGGTGAAGGCTTTCCACAGAAACACCTCATGGGATTCCTTCCTTGCGATGTTGACTCTGACACTCTGTTTCTTATGCTTATATCTGAGATCCGGAACAAGTGGGGCCTGCGGATGGAGCACTGCCGCGGCTTCACCTACCTGTCATCAGGTGCCATGTGTCAGAAACTGAAGGATCTCTCCTGCAGGATGCTGCGGGATTTTCCACAGGTAGTTTTGTCCCCCAGTGAGCCTTATGCCTTCAATGTGTGGTTGATTCGCTCCATGCCCATCCTTCCAATTCAGGACGTTGTTGATACTGTAGAGCAGGTTGCTGCCATTATTAGGCAATCAGAAACTCTGGCGAAGAAACTTGATGCCAAGATCACTGCTTCATACAGCCACATCAAAGGTGAAGTGGACAGAGTGAAGGAGTCTTGTCAGAACCATTGGGAATACGCCACTGATGCTTTCCAGACAATGCTTGATATCTTGGAGCCGCTTTTGAGCAGCATTGGTGAGATGTGCACCAGTGCCCTTTCAGATGTGGACACAGACACCATCGTAGTGCTTCTAATGCTGAAAGAGAAGCTGAAGAACTTTGATTTCATCATTACACTTGTGGTCCTGAAGAACACACTGTGTTGTGTAAGCATCCTGAACCCCAGCCTCCGGGGAATAATCAGCATCAGCAGCACATTGCAGTACACCATCTCTAACGCCTTGAAGCTTCTAACCAAACATATGCAGGAGATCGCCATTTTTCACAGAAAGTGGTTCTCTGATGCAGTGGGCAGAGCCAAGAAGTTGGGGGTGCCAGTCAGTCTGCCAGTGGAGATGGAGACAAATGGTGATGGTGCAGAGAAACCGCAAGCCTCTTTGGAGGATTACTACAGGGAAGCACTGAGCAAGAAGGTTTTACAATACCTTGTTGATGAAGTCAAAAGAGTCCTAGGCACTGAAATGGCAAGAATCCTCAGATGGTTGTCATTGGTGCCCTCATATATGGCTGACCACAATTTTAGCATCCGCAAAGACAAAGTTGCTGATGCTAACCTGAATAACTTGGCCCGTCCTGATTCCTTTTATGATGAGCTGGGCTGTTGGGAAGTGAAATGGCGACATGCTAGCAAGCGAAGGATTCTTCCCACCAGTGTGTTTGCTACTCTCAAGATCCCAGATATAGGCTTTTACCCAAATGTTCAGAGCCTGTTGAGAGTGTTGGGCACCATCCCTTGTGTCCGCGCAGAATCTGATGTGTATGGGCACTATGACATGGTGTTGGACCGCTATCAGTCCTACATGAAAAAAATACAAGTGGAAAAGAGACTGAGCAATATGGCCTTTGTTTATGTCAATCAAGATGTCCACTTCAGCACTGAGGAAATGGTGGAGGCGTATGTAAAGAAATATCCAGAAATCCTGCAGCTATTACATGAAGTAAGTATGTTTTTGGTAACTAATTAAATTTGATTTGTATTTAATTATATTTAGTTTCTGGAGATAAATAATGCCAAAAACTCAAGCATGTTTTTAACAAGCTGTTCACCGTTTTGATCTACTCATTTGTTTTTAGGATGATGTAATGGAAGTGCAACCATCAGGTAAAGCTTCTCACCTTTCTGGTTTTGATAGCTTGAACGAGAATAAATTTAACTGAGCTGAATTTTATGTTAAATACAGTTGTTGATTTTATTTATTGTACTCCAACCCCTATAACAGTTCCTGAATCCAGTGCAAATGACACCTCTAAAGAAGATACGGAAGAACCAAGAGAGATGACTTTAAATATGGACATTGAGAGACAGAAACTGCTTGAGTGTGCAGAAACCGATAAAGAAGCATTAAAATCTGCATTACAGACCGCTGTCACGGCAGCATATGGCAGGCAAAGCAGACACACTCAAGGTGATCAAGATCAAGATCAAGAAGTAGAATATGTGACCAAATCCGAGATGAATGAAGTCCTTAAAGTGTGTGAGGATGTTGTACGGGATAGGATTCTTTCAGAGCTCGTAAATTCATTCTTCTCCCTGTTTATCGACCGAGTTGTCCGATTGGGAGAGACAGACTACTTACCCATGTTCATCAGATTTGTTGATAGTTTTGATGTCATGCGCCTTGAGCTTCTGGGTTTTATCGAAGTTACTCATGACACTGAGGCCATGTGCGAACGACTTTTTGATGTTGTCACCAAAGAGTGGCGTCTCGATTTGAGCTACTGCAGAGGTCAAGCTTACCTTGGCTCTGGGGAAGTGTCCTACAAGCTCAAGGCCTTTGCATGTAAAATACAGGAGCAGTATCCTCTTGCTATATGCACACACTGCTCATGTTACTCATTCAATACCTGGTGGTCAAGATCAGTTCCAGTAGCTGCAGTCATCAGAGCCATAGACACGTTAGAGGAGATAGTGTCATTCTTCCACAGCATGCCTGCCCTCGAGAAACAGTTAGATCAAGTCTTAGCCATAGGCCTAAGAGAAAGCTATGAGAAAATCCATGAGCTTCAAGGAAAGTTCTGCTCCTCTTGGCTTGAGAAACACGACTCTTATGAAGTCTTCGCTCAGATTTTGGAGCCTCTGGTAGATTGGCTTGAAAATATTGATAACTGCCAACCACAAAGATGGAGTTTGGCAGTATCCAACCGAGCCAAGAGACTACTTCAGTTAATAAAGGACTTTGATTTCATTGTGGCAATTGTTGCGCTAAAAAATGCCTCATCCTTCACCAGAGAACTGAGTGCAGCATTACAGAAAGACCATTTTAGTGCTGCCTCACAGCTCAGCCAGATCAGTGGTATTGTGGCCACGCTTAACAGAGTGAAAACCAACATCAAGGTTTTCCATCAGAATTGGTTTGATGAAGCTTCTTGTTTTGCTCAGAGTCTGGGTGTGCAGGTCAAAGTGCCTGATAGCGTGATTGTTCCAAGGGACAGTCTCTTGAAGCCAGGTTCATACTATAAAGACGCAATGAGTGTCCCTTTAGTTGACCACCTTATAAACATGGTGAAGGACTATTTCTCTGATGACCACAAGGAGGCTCTCAACTTATTGTCCTTGGTCCCGTGCTCCGTGACAATGAGCTATGTTTTTGAAATGCTCAAGTCAAAACCTCCATTGTACATTGGTGACCTTCCCGATCCTGACAACTTCTTCACGGAGCTAAGCTGCTGGAAAGTGAAGTGGAAAACAAAAGTGGTTAGTGTAACCATACCAGAGACCATTTTTCAGACTCTGCGTCTACCCCTCATGCAGTACTTCGTAAACATCAACACATTGCTGAAGATAATGTGTGTGTTGCCAAGCACAGCTTTAGAATATTGTGGTGAGGTGAAGCGGCACAAAATGTATCAAGACTACTTGAGCAACACCTCACCTATGGACAGATCGCCGTGTTTAGCCGTACTTCAGGTGGGCACTGACTTTAACAGAGACCTAGACCGAATGGTTGCTCAGTGCTTAAAGCTCACACCTAAGACACTGGAGGGTATTTGCCTGGTAAGGATCAGTTTTTAAGTAATTTGTTGCTTGTTTAATTTGCTTTCCAAATGTGTTCCTAAAGTCTGCTTTACTTCACAGGACAAAGAATCCAAAACCTTAGGAAGGACTGTTGAAATAAAAGCAGAAGGTGTGTAATAATATTTTTATTGCTGGCTTTTTTTTCTTTTTTAAAGAATCAATGTCTGGATGCTTTCTTTCCTCTTGTCTTTTGGGGGAGGAAAAAGTGGAAGCAGTATTTAAGCACACCAAGTAGAGAAGTCAGTAATCAAAGAGAAGTCTGTTGTTTTACCAGTAGATTGAGGTATATTTTAATTTAAAATTGAGGTAAAAAAAAATTTAAAAACAGAACATGCATGTATGTTCACAATAAGATCAGTAACATGCGTTTGGAAAATAGGTAGGATGAATTTTCATTTCATGTTGACTTTAATGCTCACTTTTCCAACATTGCAGATGACACCCACATGGATGAAGTAGAGGAAAGGGAAGCTCAGCAGGTTTGTAAAGTTGTGATGATAATTGTTATAATAACATATCATTTTTCAAAAGGTTTAGATAATAGATTATATATTACAGTATAAATCGTTGATTGAGTTGAAATTTGTTTTAAACTATTGTTGATTCATATCAGCTGGTGATAGTTGATTGCTTTTTTCAATTTTGTTCATAAGTAGTATTTCTATTCACAGGACAAAGACTCCCGAATACTTGTGGTGAATTCTGAGATAACAGGCAGCGGTATGTCATTTTTGGGAATTGCCTTGCATTTAAGTTCTTAATGTTTGAGTCTTTCATTAAATATTTGTTTTATTGAAAATGCTGTATTCGTTGTCTAAAATAATGTTTACCATGACTTTTAGAAGCAGAAATCTACAAAGAGGGAGCAGATATCATAGAAACTCAGCAGCAGTCTGAAAACATAGAAGTGGTTGCTGGTTGCACGGAAGTGGCTGCTGAGGAGCAGCGTGAAAAGGTTGAAGAAGTGGAGCAGGTTCCAGATGAGAATGGCCATTCTGATGAACCAGCTGACAACATAAAAAACTGTGAAGAAGTCTTTAAACAAGCAGCTACGCTTGCAAGGAGAAACTGCTCATTGATTGACCTTGATAAACCAGAGCAAGATGCTGTTGTTCAGAAACTTGCCTTATGTCATTGGGTGAAGGAGGAAGGGACATTGTTTTCAGAGGGAGAAATGTTACAAAGTATTGTGAAGGTCATACGAGAAACAATCCTCACTGAAGTTCAGGACTCTTTTTTCTTTTCCATCATCACTGATAGAGCTATTTCAGTGGGTGATGCGAAGTTCCTGCCAGTCTTTGTTAGATATGTGAATGACTGCATTCCTAAAGTGGAGCTTATAGGATTTCTGCCCTTTGATGAAAGCTCCGATGTGGATTTGCAAGCTAAGGCTCTTTCAGCAACACTTGAAGATGAGTGGGGACTTCAGATGGGCTGCTGTCGTGGCCAGTCCATCATGTGTTTTGGTACGGGGAGCAAAAGTCTCAGGAAGATGGCTTTGGGTTTTTTAGAGAGCTATCCATTAGCTGTGAACACTCCCAGTGAATCTTGTGGACTTGCCTATTGGCTGGCTTTAAGCCTACAAAATACATCCATTACAAAGGTTCTAGAGACAGCTGAAGATCTATTACAGTTTTTTGACCAGTCACCCAAATTAGAGAGTGAACTTGCCAAGACCATGGATGGGCTGCTGAATACCCCACGGGAAGCACTTGCAGAGGTCCCAGAGACCTGCCTGTCCAGATGGAAGAAGAGAGAAGACTTCTTTGATATTTTGGTGGACATGCTGGAGGGAGTCCTGAACTGCTTAGATTCTGTGAGCACCAACTCCAGTGGGTCATGGAGTGATAGCATGTCACTGCATTCCCAGATCCTGTCCACAGCTCTTAGACAGGTTGATTTTATCATCCCCCTAGTGATCTTGAAGAATGCCTGTGCGCCCTTAAGGAATTGCAGCACTGTGTTTCGCTGTGGAAACCCTGCTGACATTATTTGCGAGCTTGAGAAGATAATGCCAATAATAGATACTTTTAGCAAGATGTTGGGCAATGTGAGTGTGGTGCATTCTGTCTGGTTTGACGAGGCAGTGGAGCTTGCAACTAAGGTCATGGGATTGCTGTCTTATGCGGAATCTGTCAGTGGCTATGATTCACCAGAAACATCTTACATGGAAGCAGTTAGCTTACCAGTTCTAAATGGTTTGATTATAGAAATGAAGTTTAACTTCTCAGAGAATCACCTAAAAGCCCTGAAAGTTTTGTCCCTTTTGCCAACGTGCAACCCTCTGTCTATTCTCCCAGAATCTGCAGATAAACTGCACACTATATACCTGAGTGATCTCCCTGAACCAGAAACAGCGGAAGAAGACATTAACACCTGGGCCACGGTATGGAGGGAGAAGTATCAAGATGTTTGTCCTCCCACCTCCATCTCTGAGACATTGCTCCATAATGAAGCCAAAAACCTTCCAAATGTTGCAACCCTTCTTAAACTTGTGGCCGTGTTGCCCAGCATTAGCATGGAGTGCGATCTAATGAAGACGACGCTAAACTCTTTGAGGACCTTACTCAGAGATGGTATCTTCAACCGGGGCAGTAAGACTGATGCAGTGATGCTTCTTATGCATCGCCAGACACTACAGAGCCTGGAAGAGGTGATTGAGAAATGCATGGCGGGTGATCCAGAAAGTAATACATTTCTTGCTCAGGTGTGGTACATTTCTTGGTGTTTACACTGTGTTAATAATTCTCATTGTCCAAAAATATCAAATTAACACACATTGATATCAACTGATAAAACAAAAAAAAATCTTTTTTTTTTTTTTTCATACATGTAGGTAAAGTCAAGAGTTAATCACCTGAGAATGGAAGGTGGTAAGTAAGCTCAAATGGGCTTTCAAAGTAATGAAATTGCTGTTGTGTTTTATTCTGACACACTCTTTCCTGTCCCTTTCCAGAGGTGATTGCCATGGCTCCACAGGAGTTGGTTGTAGATACAAATGGTACGGATTATCCACAAGAGGCAAATGTTGCTGGAATCGGTCAGTAATGTTAAATGAAAAATATTAGTAATAAGCAATTATCTCTTTTTATTAAATATTATGTCTCATCCTTTGTTTAGATGTCGAAACTGCTGCTCCAGAGGAAAATCTAGTGGAAACCAATGACACTAGTGAAATGGAAAGAGCTGAAGAAAATAAAACTGACCAGCCATCATCTTTAACAGTTAGCAGCTCAGACAAAGCCACAACAGCAGCTCAAGTCATCCCTGCTTGTAGCTCTCTGCCAACCAGCACACCTGACCAACCAACAGAATCTGTCCAAGATGCCGTTATGCAATCTACAGCAGCAGAACATGATAGAAGTGATCAACTGATCGCACTTGTTCAAGATCTAAATGATAGGTCTGAAGTACTTGATCAGTGTGGAATTGGTCTACCAGTAACAGGGGATCAAATAGTAACTAATCAAGGTGGAACTGGGCAGTCCAATGAAGAAGAGCCAGTTAGCACTGTTCAGTCAGTATCAGCTAATCAAAGTGAAACTGATCAACCTATGGAAGTTGATCAGTTTGTTGCCACAGAACCAGGTGAAGCTGACCAGCCAGCAACAGAGGAACAAAGTGTACCTGATCAGTTCACGGCAGTTGCTCAAGTTGATACCAATTCCTCCATAGTTGCTCAAGATGAAGGTTGTCACACATTAACAGGCTTAGCAGATGGTCAGTTTGTGTCAGAGGATCAGAGTGAATCTGTTCAGCTCATGTCAGTGGATCACAGTGTAAATGATAATTTCGAGTCAGTCCTTCAAAGCGAAACTGATCAACCCATGGAAATTGATGTGAGTGGAAATTACCCATATGTAGTTGAAGATCAGGGTGGAAATGGCAAGCCAGCAACAGGGGAACAATGTGTAGTTGAGCAGTTGGAAGTTAGTCCAGTTGAAACTGATCGGTCTATTGTAAAAGTTCAGGATGAAGCTTGTCAGTTATTAACAGTGATCGCAGATAAAGGAGAAACTGGTCAACTGATATCAGTGGAACAAATTGGATCTCATGATCTTGAGGCTGTTGATAACTCTGGAAATAATAATTTTGTAGCAGCAGGCCAGGACAAAACCGGTCAGTCAGTAACTGAAGATCAGATTATAAATGATCGGTTTGTGACAGATGGTCAATTTGAAACTGTAAATTTAGTAGTAAAAAGTCAAGATTCTATTCAGACAGAACATGGATTAGTAAATGAGGGTGAGTTAATATCAGAGGATCAAAGTGAATCTCATGAGCTCATGGTAGTTGACTCTGGAAAAGATCAGTCTCTAACATCAGATCACAGTGTAACTGGTCAGTCAGAAATAGGAGACCCAAGTGTAACAGAAGAGTTCATAGTAGTTGGTCAAGTTGAAAATGATAATTCCGTAGTAGAAGATCAAGATAAAACTGTTCAGACAGAAACTGGGTTCCCAAGTGAAGGTGAAACTAGTCGGTTAGGAGATCAAAATGTATCTGATCAGCTCATGGTAGATGACGACTCTGGAAATTATCAGTCTGTAACAGCAGATCAAGATGTAACCTTTCAGTCAGTTACAGAAGATCAAAGTGTACCTGATCAATTTATAGCAGTTGGTCAAGTTGAGTCAGATCAATCTGTAGTTGAGGGTAAAAATGAAACTGCTCAGACAGAAACTATATTACCAAATGAAGTTGGAACTAGTCAGTTAATATTAGGGGATCAATGTGGAGCTGATCAGCTCATGGTAGTTGACTCTGGAAATGAACATTCTGTAACAGTAGATCATAGTGGAACTGGTCACTCTGTCTTACCAAATGAAGTTGGAACTAATCAGTTAGTATTGGGAGATTGTGGATCTGATGAGCTCATTGTTGTTGAGTCTGGAAATGATCAGTCTGTAACAGTAGAGCAAGGTGGAACTGATCAGTCATCACCAGATCAAACTGTAACTGATACATTTGTGGAAGTTGCAGCTCATCAGCCTATAGTAGAACATCAAAGTGGATTTGGGTTAGAAGACGGAAGTGGAATTTGTCAGATAGCATCAGGGAATCAAAGTGGAAATGATCAGCTTGTGGCAGATGAACCCTGTGGAAATGATCAGTCTGTAGTAGAATCTCAAGGTGAAACTATTCTTGCAGTTGCATTGAATCAAAGTGTGCCTGATCAGTCTGTGGCACTCAGTCAAGGTGGAAATGATCAGATAGTACCAGGGAATCAAAGTGAAACTGATCAGTCCAACATAGATCAGGCTGGCCTTGAGCAGCCCAAAGTAGCTTCAGATTGTGGCACAGATCAGTTCAGTTCAGTGGCTCCAGATTGCTCAGACCAAGAAACTGCAGCAGTACACATTTGCCTTGATCAATTCTCTGCAATAACTCCAAGTGTTACTGACCATTGCACACCTGCTTCATCTGAGGATATTACGGATCACCCCATGGAAGCAGAATCTGAATGCACAGTCCAGTCTGGAGTAAAGGCTCAGGATAGTGCAAACCAAGTAGTTACCCTGGATGGCACTGGACTACAAAAAATAGTTTTTACCCCCTATGATGCTGTTGCTCGAGAGGAATTGCTCAAGGAACTGTGCAACATAAAGTTCTTTTCCATAGTCACTGAGGAAGAGTTTGCAATCGATGGCCAACCATACATCTCTGTAGGAATACACTACCTTAACAAACAAGACATCAAGTGTGAAAATATGTTGACCTTTATCCCGCTTTCCACAAACATTACTTCATTCGTTGATACGCTCACCATCGCTCTTTCTGAGAAGTGGGGTTTGAACTTGGCACACTGTAGAAGTCTAAACTTGGCAAGACCAGGTGCCACAGTCTCTCAGATGACACAGGCTTCAGCTTTGCTTTCCCAGAGACTCCCTCATGCTTTCAGTTTCCCGAACCTTGTAACTCCAAAATCTTTGCTAGATGGTTTGTCCTCCCTGAGAGAGATAACTCACTGTTTTGAGTGCTTGGAGCAGCTCTTCATGTGGTTCTCTGAGGATATTCAACGACGTGTAAGACTAGAGGAGGCTGTTGTACATTTGTTCCAGGAGGACGAAAGGAAGGCCAGTGAGCTGAAAGCCAAGATCAGCAGCAATCAATTGGCAATGAGCCATGAAGTTCTGGAACTCACTACAGACATTCTAGAGGCCATCGTCTTTTGCTTGAATGAGATGAAAGGGAACCAAGATAATGAGGCAAACACAGCACAGGCTCAGAGCTTCCTTTCTGATATCCAAAACTTTGATTTCATATTGACAGTTGTGATTATGAAAAACATCTTGAGCCTCACCAAAAGCATAAGCCTGAGTCTTCAGGGAAGTTCCTATGATGTGTATCAAGCTGTAAACCGCGTGTCTGATCTGCTACCCTCTCTCAGTGAAATGAACAGTATTGACTCACATCATCAAACCTGGTTTCAAGAGGCTGTTGCTTTGGCTTCTAAGCAGATACCCTCACTACAACCACCCTTAAATGTGCACTACAGAGAGGACATCAGTAAAGGGGCCATTGAGCACTGTATTGCTGAGATGGAAGGACTCTCCCAGGATGTTCTGTCAGCTGTTCGCTGCTTGCAGGTTGTGCCTTATGTCATGTCCAAAGTGGAGGGATGCTGCAACGACACTGAGTTTGTCAAGGTGTTCCAAGATGTCTTACCTGACCCAAAATCCTTCCAGGATGAGCTGCAGAGGTGGAGGGACAGGTGGCAAGACTGTATTGCCAGTCATCAGCACCTACCCGACACTGTTCTCGGCACTCTCAAAACTTCTGACATTGAGACTTTTCCCAACATTTCAACTATCCTTAGGCTCCTGGCAGTCCTGCCCATCTCCAGCACACAGAGTAGCTTCACACAGGGAAAGATGAAATCTGAGCTGTACCCTCTGTAGTAGGCTTGGCTTAACTAGCTGCCCCCAAACAAGCTGTCTAATAGGATGTCACACACTGCTGAAACTTCAGAATGTCCTACTGTATTCTCTAAACTGTAGATCACATCTGACTGTAGGTTTCAGTATGTTTATTTTATTAGATGAATTAGACCTGTACACTCTTAAGGATAATCACATAATGGTTTTATTGATGTTTTGTCTTTTTTATTATTTGTTTTCCTTTTACGTAAGTGGCATGGAAAAAGAGGACTGCCAATTGGGACCAATGTCTTGCCAAAAAAAAAGAAAAAAAAGAAGAGAATAGGATGCCCCTGGGGGGCCTTACTGCTTTGTGCCTTTATGCAAAAAACCCTACATAACACTTTGAATAATGTGACACAAAAAGTCTGGATGGACACTTTCACATCACACTTTTGGGGAATTTCCTAATATCTTCAGGAACTTTTAAAGACTTCAAATCATAAATATTCTGAGATACATTGTGAGGAAAAGAGAATCGTGTTTTATCACAATGAATTATGACTGTGTTATATTGTCAATGTCATCCCACGGCACAAGCTAAAACCAGTCTGTCCCTGTATCATTGTGCGTGTTACAATGTTTGATTTGGTTGCAGTTTTATTTAGATGAATGGATCTTTCTGTAAACGTTTCTCCCAGAAGCCCTCCTCACAAAGGAAGCATTCATATATATTTGACTAAAATAAATAAAATCATTGAAAAGAAGCAGTGTTTTACATTTCAATCTCTGCTCAATTCAAAGCCATAATATTTAAGGATGCCCACAAGATGGCAGTCTACACCTATTATACTTGAACAAGTACCTGTGGGTAAGTACTGATTCATCCCTGTTTTATTTTTTTTAGATTTTTTCCCTGAGACTTTTCCCCTAGATGGTTTGTTATGCATAGTAGAATCTAATTTAATTGTAGGAACATTAATCACCCTCAAAGAAGTTAGTTGTGTGTAATGGATTCATTAGTGTTTTTTTTCTTCTTCCCCCACATTACTGACATCAATATCAAGAGAGCAGGGTGACTGATGCTAATACATGCATAATACAACAGCGTGTTTAATCATGTCAAATGATACATAATTATTTATGATAAATAATTGCAGTTATGGTTTTTTGCTTTTTTTTAATATAACTTATTTTATAAATTGACTTGTTATAAATGTTTTTTTAAATCTGTTGATTAATTGGCTGTTAATATGAATTATTTCTTTATTATGCTACACTAATGCAATTTTTTAATGTTACACTATTGTGGTGGTAGTCTAACAGCTGATGTCATTGGCTGGTTACATGTGTTGCCTTGTGTGATCCGTTCAGTTATTTTAGTTCCTTGTTTTAACTGATTTAGTCTTATTTATGTGTACTTTTTATTGCCTTGATTGTTTTTTCCCCCCAAAACTAAGGAGAAGAATCCCACTTCCTGCCAGTGTCCTCTACTCTTCCACTAAGTTAAAGTAGTAGTTAAATGATTAATGTCTTCACTTTTTAATGCCTTTTTTAAGAGTTCAGGCTTTTCACAAAATAGTATTGGCCCCCTGTAGCCTGTCGATGATTTGCAGCCATTCTTTAACCCTTGGTTCATAGAATCCAGATTCATCATGGAATATTTTTTTCAGGAGTAGATTTTGAGATGTCGTTGAGAAGCAATCAGTCTCCCATTTCCATGTAACCTTGGACCTATGGTTCACCCTTGGGGGCTAGAGCCTTTGACATTTTAGGGTCGTTTTTTTTTGTAAGAGAGGCAGTAGATGTGGTTGGAAAGGCAGGAAAATAAACCTATTAACAAGACAACGCAACAGTAATTACAACTACAAATCAATTAAGGCCTGCTATTACTTTGTGGCAGATTGAATATATGACTTGCAGTCAAGAGAAAGTAGAGTAGCAGTTCAGAAATTCATGAAGACTATTCCAAAAAAATTGTATTTTTCTTTCTTTGCTCCCTATAGGGTAGCATTTCCAAGTTTTTTGCCAACAACTTAAGGGACTTAAGTTTGTATCAAGACAAATGTATGATTTTTTTTTTTTTTAAGCATCAACAATCTCATCAAAACTCTTTGTGCAGATACATTCGTTCTCTAATCTTCCTCTGCTGTTAAATGGCAAAGTGCAGAGGCAGACAAAGTACACAACTTCATTACTTAAGTGAAAGTACAGATACTGCTGGTCAAATATTACTCCATTACAAGTAAAAGTTGTAAAGACAGATTTTTACTTAAGTAAAAGTACAGAAGTACTTGCTTTTAAAAGTACTTGAGTACCAAAAGTAAATTTCCTTTTTTATGTCAATGCACTGTTTTATTATTGTTGTATGTAATACAGTGCCTTGCGAAAGTATTCATTCCTCTTCATTTTTTTCACGTTTTTTTATGTTGCTGCCTTATGTTAAACTGCTTTAAAGTACTTTTTCCCCCAAATCAATCTACACTCCATACACCATACTGGCAAAGCAAAAACAGAATTGCCACAACTTCGTAAATGTATTAAAAATAAAAAAAACTGAAATAAGTACATTGCATAAGTATTCATACCATTAACTAAATATTTAGCGGAAGCACCTTTACAGCCTCAAGTATTTTTTTGTTTGATTTTTTTTTTAATACAAGCTTTGCTCATCAGCATTTGGCAATTATCTGCCATTCTGACATTTTTAGGTTTCTCCAGAAATATTTGATTGGGTTCAACCCCAGGCTCTGACTGGGCCACTCAAGGACATTGCCACAGGTTAACTTCACTCGAAGGGTAGTAACATCTACAAGCAATATGAATGCTCCTGAGCTAAATTTCTACTGTCCAAGATAAGGGTATGAATACTTATGCAATGGAATCATTTAAATTTTCAAATTTAAATCAAAATTAAATTGGCAAATATGTTAAAAACCTGTTTTTTGCTTTACCATTATGGTGTATGGAGTGTAGAATGACGTGGGAAAAAAAGTAATTTAAAGTAGTTTAACGTAAGGCAGCAACATAAAGCGTGAAAAAAATGAATACTTTCGCAAGGCACTGTACTTGCAATACCTCTGAAGCAACTTACAATACATTACACCTACTGAATACACTGACTAGCTTGTAGTATCTTTGGAATAAAGAGCTTTTAGAATGTTAAAAACCTATGGGGGAAAAAAAATTTAATAAAAATTATTTAACACCCCTACCCACCCTCACAAAAGCAGGATGGTAGTGATCTCACATGGCTCTGGACATATCTATGTGTAGTCATTCATCCACATTTGAACAGAGTGGACAGTGAAATTGCTGTAAAAACAGACTGATAAGGAAGAAAATAAAAAATCAAACCTGCTTTAAAACCCAGCAACACAACTGTAGCTGTGTAACTTTACAACAGCAACACTGCTTTAACAAAAAAGCAAAACAGCAAGACTTATTTGACATCAAAACAAAAATGTAAAAAATGCTGTCTAATCGCTCTCACTGTTCTTTGATGTCATACACATAATTGTCTGTGCAGTGCTGCTTCAGTCAAACACCTTTTGTGTTTTATTAGGAGCCGCACAACAGTTCTTCTGTGGCTTTATAGGTAATATTTTCACTTACACAATTTAGCAAAATCAGACAATATTGTGTCTAATATAAACCACAATATTAACTTCTTATTATTGAATTGTTGTAAATAAATATCACATTTGGAACTGGTCCGTGCTCAAAAAATGCTGGGAAATCATTTCATGTAGCCCCAAGAGTGATTACTGATAAACTGTCTGAAAAAAAGAAAGTCACGTTTTAGAGGGAAAAATCACCCACTGACTTTCAAAGCTGCTAACAACTTTCTACTTTGAGAATCTTGATAGAAATGTAGTGGAGTGAAAAGTACAACATCAAAAAGTGTACTTAAGTACAATGCTCAAGTAAATGTCCTAAGTTACTGTCCAACTCTGGCAAAGTGTGGTTAGACAATATTGTGCAACATCTATCCTCAAAACAAATGTTTGTTTGGTCAGTTCCCAAAGGATTTTCAATGTGGTGTTCGATAGTGTGCTGACAAGCCAAGTCCTTGTCCGTCTTTCATCGACCAATGCATTTCGCAAACCACAGTGGTTTTGATTTTCTCCCCATTTTCCACAAGCAATAAATTATTATTTGTGAGATCTGCTGGCCAGATTTTTATGAATTCTTTGTGATATTAATTGTTGTCAAATACAAAGTTACAAGGCCAACATTTAACTTATCTTTCTTATCTTTAGAAAGCCTTAAATGTTCATTAGCAACAGGAGTTGCAACATCACAAGGTGAGTTTGTATATTATCCTTCCAGGCACAAAATAGACATCTTATTGTCAGTTAATACTGTAGATCCGAGGACACTGTTGCATAGTTATGAATTTTAGACTATTTTAAACTTTCAAACTATGAAGATCTTGCCTATCTTTAAGGACTGAATTCTTGTTCCTTTGGCAGCCTTTTCCAGGCTAATAACATGAGCCTTAAAACCCCTAAAGCCATTAACGGCAGCTGAAATGCCAAGATACGCTTCCTCTTGTGAACTGCTATCTGGGATTAGTACATTTCTTCTCTTTCCTCCAAAAGCACTCAGTCTGAACATTGTTTCACTCTGTGTGTTCATCTGGAGCATCCTCTGCTCTGATCACACTGTAGAGGGCTCATGTATTCTCTGTCTGTAGGCCGAAACAGTGCTGCCCTCTCCCTCCTCTCAGAACAAGGGTCTGATTGTGTCTGCTCAGCCCGGTGTGAAAGAGCTATCTCTTCGTGTTACCCCGGCTCATCCACAGAGCAAACGGATCCGTCTGCTCTGAAGGTTGGACAGCCCGGCAGTGCTGTTTGCAGACAGGATTATGTCAGAGTCCTCCGGTCTTCTCTAGCCTTCAGAGACTCTCCCACCATCAGCGTTTTTTTCATAACCATTTTCTAAATTCTAAATGGTCAGTAATCTTATAATCTGTTCTAAAATCAGATGTACTCTTTCAAATGGCTGATTAAAAAGTATGTAATATATTTCTTCACTCTCTGTTTGATTGTATTATATCGCCTGCTAATCTCCTGGCCAAACCGAGATTTGCCCTAACTGAACTCCTGAGCTTGTTTCCTGCTGGAAGTCAAGGCTGGGCTATGCCGTAGGACCTGTGGCGGTGCATAATCATGTCCATGCACAGCATGGTTTTAACTATACTCCTGAGAGAGAGGCAGAGGGCTTAACAGGATTTTATTTCAAGGTTTCCGTGCCAGCAATCCCTAGCCAAAATCTCAGAACCACCAACAAATAACGCATTTGGTTTGAGTTATTCCAATGT